AAAAAATGTAAGGGGAAGAAGGCCCTCCCTGGTGGCGCAGTGGGTTAAAGCACTGCACTCAGAAGCTGAGTTCGATTCCCGCCTGACCCGGAGGTGACCACATGGTGTGGCAGACCTCTCCTAACCTGCCCGCTGCTCCCATCAGCAGTATACTTCATCGATCTGCCTGTTCTGCTCCCCACTCTGTCTCTCTTTCACCACTCCTGAGTCTCTGACCTGTATCCCAGTTCTGTATGCACAAATAAATAAATCTTTAAAAAAAAAAATGTAAGGGGAAGAAAATTATCTATCATTTAATAAAGTAAATAATATATTTATATTTGAATATCACTTTTAAAAGCTATTCTTTGAAAATATTATTTATTCAAAATTTAACGCTTCTTGGTGGAAGGACTATTTTTATATAATCTATTACTGATTTTTCCAAATAACAGGAAATTGGATCGACTTGAGAAGAAAAAAAAGAAAAAGAAAAAAGATAGAAAAAAGAAAAAGCTTCAGAAAAACAGAAGTAAACACAAAAAACATAAAAGCAAATCCTCTTCCTCGTCTTCTTCCTCCTCCTCTTCTTCTTCCTCCTCCTCCTCCTCTTCTTCATCCAGTGAGACTTCAGAAAGCAGCAGTGAGAGTGACAACAAAGAAAGAAAAATACAAAAGAAGAAAAGAAGGAAAAATAAATGTTCAAGGGATGACAACAGTGATTCTGAAAAGGACAAGTCTAAGAAGAAAAAACTTTATGAAGAACTTCCAGGCAGGCACAGTAACAAGGAAAAGTCTAGGTTTATAAAACAAGAGAGTTCTGGGGAAACGAGCAAATGGAACCATTCTGATTCTGATAGAAAGGCCAGAAGCCATTACCATAGCCCAGAAAAGAGAGGATCTGAACGAAATGAGAAGAGCAGCAGGAGCCAAAGCAGAGATGAGAGGCGGAGGAGAAGCCGAAGCAGAAGTCATAGTAGTTACAAGCAAAGAGAAATAAGAAAGAGGCTACAGCGAAGTCCTAGTGAAGAACAAAATAGACGAAAAGACACCAGAAGCCATGGCACAGATAGATATAGAGGAGAAAATATGCACAGAGAACTCAGGAGATAAGCATACTAGTAACACACAAAGAATGAAGCACAAATAGAGTGAGAATCAAGAGAGACCATATGGACAATTGCCTGGGAATAAAAAGATCTCTACTTTCTTCTTATTGAATACCTTTAGCAAGGGCTAAATTATGTATTATTGTCTTTCTAAAATAAAAACCATGCTTTAATTTTTTCATCTCCATAAACTATATAAAACTATACCAGTACTATAAGAATAACCTTTGCAAATATTTGTAAGAAATCTGTTTTGGGTTATAAAATATTTTCTGTCTGTAAATGTTTCCTATCTATACCTATACTAAATAAAAAACCTGTATGGCTCTTGATATTTTCTTTGTTCTGAAACATCATTAAAGAATTAACAGTACTTTGAATATTACTTAATTTTTATGATTTTAATTCAAGATGTATTTTAAGGTTAGGCATGAAGTCAAGGGTAATCACTTTGAAACTCACTAGTATGAATTAAAGTAACAGCATGATCAATATATCGTTAAGACTTTTAAACTCCCTTCTGTTCTACAGGGTAACCTATTTACTTTTGGGTGATCTATTAAATTTTCTATGCTGATAAATTACTTTAAAAATATTACTTCAAGCCTCATCACATGTATTATACAATTCTGGAGATTAGAAGTCTGAAATGGGCTTCATTTCAGCTAAAATCAGTGTTACAAGATTGGTTCCTTCTATAAACTATAGGGGGAAATGTGTTTGCCTTTTCCAGCTTCTCAAGCATGCCTACATTCCTTGGCTCCAGGCCCTTTTTTTGATCTTCAAAGGTGTTAAAGGTTATTCAAGCCTTCTCACACCTAGTCACCCTGACACTTTGGCATTCTGTACCCCGCTTCCCTTTTTAAGGGCCCCAGTGATTATATGAGACCCACCTGGAGAATCCAGGATCATTTCCGTATTTCAAATTCAACTTGTTGGTAATCTTCCTTTATCTGCAATCTAAATTTCCCCTTGCCATGTAATACAGTATTCACAGATTCCAAAGATTAAGACATGTACATCTTTGAGGTGTCATTATAATGCCTGCCACAGATGGCCTTTCTGCTAATGGTATACAACAAAGATTTTACTCCTAAAGATCCAGTACTTAAATGATGTCACAGGTGAACCATTGAAAACTATCAGGATATATTTCATGGGCATATTCAAGTTTAGTTACAAAGTTAATCTTGTATTTCATATTCAAGTTTAGTTACAAAGTTAATCTTGTATTTCAAAGGCTATGGTAAACTATAGAAAAAATTATTGAGTAGAAATTACAAGTAAAATGCAATTTGAAAAAAAAAGGTCAAGTATGTTACCAGCATTGCACATTTTAAAAAATATGTACTATGTAATATACAAATATTAATTAGATGGGTTGAGACATAGCAATCATTTCTCAAAATTCAGTAAGAAGGTACATTTGAAAGAGTAATGAAGTAAAACCATATCATGCGGTCTGATATGTCTTTGACTCATACATACTTACATACACTAATGTCCTCTGATTTAGAAGAAGCTAAGGCTAAACAACCCTTTGATTATATAGATTTTTAATAAAAGTGGGGAGGAAGAGGAACAACTTGAATTTCTTTGCAGTATTTTTTTTTTTTTAGATTTATTTATTCATACAGAACTGGGTACAGGCCAGAGATGCGGAGGGTGAGAGGCTTCACCAGAGACACAGTGGGGAACCGAATAGGCAGATTGATCGAGGAAGTACACTGCTGAGGGGAGCAGCGGGCGGGTCAGGAGAGGTCTGCCAGGCCATGTGGATCTCCTCTGGGGAGAATCGAACTCAAGCAGAAGTGGCTTAAGCTTCTTAGTGCTGTGCTTTAACCCTCTGCACCATCAGGGAGGGCCTGCAGTATTCTTAAATAAGTTGCAGTGCACCTCAAAGATCCTTTCATTTAAAAAAAAGCATGCATTTGAAATTGATAGACTGCTAATTTACACCTTGAGTTCATCAGTGTTGCACTGATTATTTTCTCTTATGCCTTTTTAGACTTTATAATTTTTATAATGGCAAAACCTATGCAATACTTATTGCTGCTGTAAAGGATTTATGAAGCAGTGTGTTCATGATGAGAAATGTCGAAAAGTGGTACACTTAACTTTATAAGATAAGTGGCCATAAGAACTGTAATCTCTGGTTTATCCTTCATTGTTAAGATTGGGAAAACTGGCCCTCCCTGGTGGCGCAGTGGGTTAAAGCACAGCACTGAGAAGCTTAAAACACTTCCATATGAGTTCGATCCCCGCCTGTCCCAGAGGAGATCCACATGGCACGGCAGACCTCTCCTGACCTGCCCGCTGCTCCCTTCAGCAGTGTACTTCCTCGATCTGCCTGTTCTGCTCCCCACTCTGTCTCTGGTGAATCCTCTCACCCACCGCATCTCTGACCTGTACCCCAGTTCTGTATGAATAAATAAATCTTTAAAAAAAAGATTGGGAAAACTTGTTTTCCAATACCAATAGTGTTGCTCTTCTTACCCATCCACCTGATAAGAAAAATTCCATGGAAGATGTCGATTGGCCATTTTGCTTCCAGCTTTGGACACTTAAGGATGCTAGACCACCAAAAGCACTAGTACTCCAATTTTGCAAGTTCAAGGAAGGCAGGCTTTTCATATGCAGTTATGACATGACAAGCTTCAGGAAGGTTCACCTTGCTCTGCATACTTTCCTGACATGAATCAAAGGAGTTGAAAGTGATATTCTACTTTTGCTTGTGAAATGAAAGGTAGACATCGAAGAGAAAGTATGTCTAGTATGTTTGGAAATTCCTCTGTTAAAAACCAAAGAAGAACCCTCCAAATTTAATGAATCTATGATTCAAGGGTCCAGAAAAAAAGTGCTCAAAGTAATAGTTTTTTTTTTTAAATAGGAAAAGTTTGATATTTGTCAGTGTTGCAAGTCTTCATAGAGGAATTCTGTGAAAGAAGTCTGAGTATACCAAGTGACATTAGTTATTCATGGACCCGAAACTACAGTGAGAGACATTTCCACCCCATTTTTTCCTTGTCTTAACATTTAATATAATTTAACACTAGCAAATTAATTCCTGTAGGAGGTGCTGTCTATTTAAAAATGGCCAGGAAAGATCAGTTACTAGGTTAGGATTTGTTTATCTGAATGTCTAGTTGTAAGTTAGTCACAATTTCAGTTAATATGTATGCCAAAATAAAGCAGGTCTGCTTACTTGCGACTTGAATAGACATCTTGTTTTGAAACACATAGTTTTAATCTGAAGAACGCTTTCTATCTGAAAGGCTTGGAGAGAGCTTTCTTGTTGCTTTTCCCTGAGATCCCTCCTCAATAACTAATCAAATCAGTCCACACTGCTGGGAACTCCCCATTTCCCACTTTTATTATGGAACACTTAATATGTTTCAGCATTGAAGATCCAAGATTTTAGAGTCCACCTGTGCCACTTCACTGTCCTCCTTACCTGATGACCCCTGGCCAAGACGATGATGGAGGCCTGTCAGTGACGCAGCTTCCTTCATGCGCTGTGCTTCGGATCTGGGAGAGAGCTGCGTTTTAGCCTCAGCAGCTGAAGGATATCAAGAAATCTGAATATTTCCTTTTCAGAAAACCTTGGTAGTTACCACTTCTTGAAAAGATAAAAACATGCAATAACTGCAGAACTTGGGGTCAAAACGGAGAAATTCTTGTTAAAAAGTTGTGAGGAACTAATAAGAACAAGGGAATTCTAGGGTTTGGGAAACGAGATGGCAGCTGAGAGCTCTCGGTTTGAGGTTCCTAAAATCCGGTTCTTGCTGACAGAAAAGGAAGCAGATACTGATCACCTTCCGCCTTTCTCCTCCCCTCACACCACACTTGAATGTAGCAGCAGTAATAAAGTAAGGTGTGGGGTAGAATGTGAGTCGCACTCATAATAGAAACGTACACTGGCCCAAACTGTCCGACGGTTGCCTTTTGCCCACGGAAAACCCCACCCCTTGGGTTCTGCCTTCCCAAGGAGGTGGACAAAAGTGGAGGTGCAGGGCTGGGTGTTCACCAGAGGAGACCTAGCCCTAAACTCAAAGGAAGCCAGACCCGCAGGTGAAGTAGACAGCGGGACTGGAGGAGGGTGATGGGGCCCGGGAGTTGGGTTGCCGCTTCTCCTCCCTAGAGGCGACATCACCCTGTGTAGTCCGGTGCTTTTCATTTAGACACATGTGGCAACCTTCTGAATACACCTCCAGCCAAAGGAAAGGTGGAGAATTAGGGGGCACGTCACCCTCATAAGATGCGCCTCCAGCCCATCTCGGACTGCTGGGCTCCCCACCCACACAACGTACGAGAAAGGTCAAGTACCATCCCCCTTAAGCTCCACGCAGGTGGCCTTACCCCACCCAGAAGGAATTCCCGGACCGCTCTGCCGGCCGCGGTAGCTGCACCCTGGGAACCTGGCGCCCGGACAGTCGCTCTCCTTGCCTGCCAGTAACCGCCTAAGCTCGCTGGCCTTCGCATCGTTTTGCCCGCGAAGGTTGGAGGGCGGACTTTTCGTCAGCAGTTAGGAAAGAACAAATTTTCTCGTGGCTCGGACTCCACAGGTGAAGAAGGGAGCTTTAGGGAGCTGATTATCTCTCGCTCTTGGGGTAAAAATGAAGAGATTTCTGCAAGCAGAGAAAGGACTGGGAGATACACCCTCTCACTTTGCCTTTTTAAAAAAATTAGTCTCCCAGAAATGGTTATATGTCTGCAAAATTCCTAGTGTGAATTTCCAAAAGAAGAGAGTGGAAGGGTCTTCTTGGAAAAATCCAGAAACTTAAGTGATTGTCTTTCCTGGGTCACTGAGAACAGGCCCTGGAGGAACGTGTCCCCACGGACATTCAGAAACATACCCTCTTAACTGGAGTTGCAAACACGCTCTATATTTATATCAATAACATATAGGGTAGGCTTGTCTGTATATATTTACCTCATACATATTTCTATGAACTCCAGAGTCTAGGAAGGGGGGGGGGAGAATAACACTGAACGGTTAAAATTATGGAGAAGGGATAATAACTGATTACTAATTTGAAAGTAAATAAACAGGTGACTTTTTCAGATCAAATTCCTCCTTGGATCGTTACAATAAATATCTCTGAAGGAAGCTCTCTATTTATGTTGTCATTGATTAATTCTTCACTACCTCATTTGATTTCGATTTAGAACGATTTGATTCTAATTTAATTAGCATGTAATTTGGATGTACATAATTACTGTAATTATGACATTCAGGTAAGGCAGCTTTAGGCTGAAAGGCAATTTCAAATTTTCTAGCAACCTACTTTGTACTGGGAAATGGACAAGGACTTTGCGCCCTGCTATCCAA